ACCTGTCACGGGATATCTTTTGGATTCTTTACTCATAGTATGGCTTGTTTTGAATACTGGATGCATATTGAATATTGAATTCCTTTGTGGTGTTTTGAATTCCTTTATTGGCACATAGTGCATATTGAATTCCTTTGTAGGTGCACATGCATTCCTTTGTAGTAGGACCTTGTAGGCTAGCCAAATTCCCTCAAGGCAGTGCTCTCACCAGCCAAATTCCCTCACCTGCATGTACTAGACTAGCTAAAATCCCTCATTGGATCTTCAGGGCAGCTAAAATGCCTCAAAAGCCTGTACCCTGGGGCTAAAATCCCTCACATTTGTCTATATAAGGAGGCCTCTGCCTGCCAGTTGTTCCCTCCATCATTCCACCAGAGGAGCAGATCATCTCAACCCACATTACAGATTATATACAAGTGACAGCCATAACAACACATTATATTGAAATACAACCATAACACTTTCATCATCATAACAAGTGCCAAGTGCCATAACCTGCCTCACATACCATTACTGGTTGAAGCATAGTGCTCCCAGAGCTCCGGGCCTTGGCTTTAAAGCTTTGAACAACAGCTTCATCAATATAATCATCACTCATTTATAACTTCAGACCTTATAAACATCACTCGGAAGCTTCATCTTGAACTATCCTCTATCACGATAAATATAACTGCCAAGCTAAGCTTGGTGGTCTTGTTGTTCTGATAGCATAGAAGGGCAGAGCTTGCAACTCCATCATCCCCTTCTCCATTCAGCAAAAGGGTTTTCATAACCACTTTTGAGTCTTACACCGTGGGCCTTTTGTCTCAGTTTATTCCGACAACTGGCTCATACTCTTAGCCTAAACCCTTTTCTGATATTTTTTGAAATCTTTTCTTTGACACTGCAGATGTCATTCCGCATCAAATGCCCTGGGTTCATGGCCATGTATTCCGGCGTGCTTGAACCCCATCACCACATTTGGATCAATGGCCGTATTTTACGTAGGGTTGCAAACAACCTTTATATAAATGTAAATTATGCTCATTTCTCCTCAATTCAACTTGGACTTACAGTAACAAATGTTGTGTCAAAGAGATTATTCTGGGAAGAGGGGAATAAAGGCGAGGCGACAACAGAGGTGATGATGGAGGAATTTTCTTAAGTTGTTTGAACCAATATATTGTTTTGTTACAATTTATTATACAATACCAATGCAATAAATCAACATTGATTCTTATTCATCCGGCGGCGTAGCCGCCCCGAGACACTACACATTACATAAAGGCCAACTTAACACAAGGTCCCTGCCTTGAAATGAGAGCGTCCCTTTGGGACGCGGCCCCGCGGGGTCGATTCGAATTTCGGGACCCTCCGATCGAAAGGCTTATGTTGAGCTCGAAGAAACCGCCGCAATGTACCCGACGGGCACCAATGCGATATTGGTGACTTCACGCCATTACCTCCTCAGCTCCGAATGAGGTGAGCATATCTAAATATGTCACACCAAAGAACAAGAGAAATATGTAACCCCAGGCTCAGTTACAGGGAAGCACGTTTGCAATGTATTTATAATGCGAATTGATCTGATTTGATATGTAAAATAAAAAAGCTTGTAGCTGTTAAGTTTGCTCACGATGGTGCTTGGGGTGGGGATGGACAAATATAGAATTACGAAGGCCGAGAAGCTGGATGTGAATCGACTTAAGCGAATGCTAGTGGATGCAATTGCAAACTAACCTAAAATAAGTGTTGTTACGTGCTGACCCACGCCTGGGAGTCGGATCGATTGAAGGCCATCAAATTTGGCAAGCTCAGCTCAAGGAAGTTTGACATTCCGAAGGGCCTGGGTATCGTAGAAAAATGTGCCCATCATTTGACTGAAACATCCACACTCATCCTACCTTGGATCTTCTTGGATAGAATCATTCCACCTGGCACCCCGTCGATCAATACTCGGTTAACTTCGATTGTCTTTGTAGTATTTGTGAAACTTCCCGGTTGCCACAATGAGCTTCCAGCTCCCATCAACCCCCGCAGAGTGGAATGAGCTCAATCAACGCGTCCACAGGTTTTCCGACTCGTCCGTCTCTCGAAGTGCGCAAAGTATCATTTGGCTCGTTACGATAGTGGGACCAGTCCCGGGAATTCTCTACCTAATAAGTGCTTTGAAAAAGTGTCACACAAACGGGTGGTGGCTGGTGAAGGCCGATGATAGAGGATACCTTTACCCGCACAATCGGGTTATGCTTGCGCTGTGGATGGTAGCATTTACCTTAGGTATATATACCGAGTTTTCAAGTTTCTGATTAATTCAAGTTTCACCAAAAGAATGATAAGGTCTTGTTGCCCAGCAAACGCGATCCTGATACATCAACATTTGCCGAGCTGACCTTATTTTTTGCTCTTACATCAAACAATAGTAAATCTGGCCCATTCGATCAGTTTATTGTTTGACTGTCGGTCACATCTTCATCCTCGGACGCTGATTTTTCACCTAGTATCATTTTCCCTTTTGAGCTGTTTTGGTGAGTAGATAACCGAAGTATCATCTATCATTGAGATCAATTTTAATTTTAATTTTTCTTTGGGATGCGTCACTGGAATGATTATTCTGAAGGTTGGGCGAAAGGTATGTTTTTCTTTTTCTTAAATTTCCATACTTAAAAGTGTGATAATATATGATCTAAGACCGTGTGTGTTTTCTGCCCTCTTCCGGAGTCTAGTTTGGTCTGTCTTTTACGCTATGCCACCATCCAGATATCGGTTGGCACCAGTGAATCAGAAAAGCGGTCCATCACATCCTTTACAATCTATGAAGCACCCTATTCCAGCATACCTATTCAACCCATTAATCATCATCGCCCACTTGGTGTCTTTATGTGGTACATTGCCATGGCTAGTCATCGCTATCAAGGAATCTTATGAGTTGTTGTCCGCGTGGGATCAATACCAATCCTCCTATGCCACCATGGTCGGTTCGAGTTCTACCCAAATCCTCAAATTTGAAAGTCAGCTTCAGGCTCTACTTGCTTTGAAAAAGATGATACAGTCTGTGGAAACGGTTCAAAAAAACGTGAAGAATGTGTGCACGTTATTGCTGGTTATAACTCTAGTCCAGCTCATCGCTTTGGTTTGGTGCTCGTATCGGATTCTCGGGGCTCTTTACTTTCAAGCGGGAGTTTTACGGAAAGCAGCATCGAGGCAAATAAACTTGCAGTACGAGCCTAAACAGATCGAATTCGGATTCTGCCAGCCATCAGACCCTTCAAGCCTGAATAAAATCGCATCGGCTCCACAAGCCCTCTCAAGGTCTGGATCCATGCATTCCTCGGCTAAGACAATCTTCACGCTCCACTGGAAAGATTTCCTACCAAGCCTTGAAAGAGGAAACAAAGTTTCGGCTCACGTTTGGAGATCGGAACCTTTCCAGAGAACCCAAGAACAAATCGTTGGTGATGGAATAAAAGACATATCGGCTTTCTATTGGAAATTGAGACGGTATGCCATGCACACATTGTGGCACATAGTCTTGGCCGCACTTGTTAAGTCGTCTTACATAGCCCTATGTATTTCATTAGGTACGTCTAAACATTATGGATGTAGAAAAGAAGGAAGATGTACAAATTAATCACGCGTTGGTTGATTTACATAGCTTCAGGGGCCTTTGATGGTCTAACGCTATCGGACTTCGAGGTTGCAGTATTTCAATGGGTCAACATCACTTGGAACTGTGGGGTAGGATTTCTCCTAGGTCTCGTGAGTAACCTGGCAAATCAAATCTTTCAATCGACTCACTTTATCAAAGCTCAAATGGGGCTGATGACTGGATTTGTCTTTCTGGCTCTGTTGCACGTCTTCCATCCACGTAGTTTTCGTGCATTGATGTATTTACACCAACTCCGACACTTCCCCGCGAACCAGACCCATGGGAAGGAGAGGTTGATCTCAGCGAAGAAATTCTTAGATGATTGGTCCCAACACTGCTTTCCTAATTTCTACTTTCAACACGGATAGGGTTTCTGTTTACATTTTTCACCCACTGTACAAAATTTCAGTTTGGCACCGAAGCATCAGATTTCTTCCTTGATTTCCATGAATCTTATCCCAAATGTGGCATTGGATTTTCAATATTTGTATACATAAAAAACCTCTCCTCATTCAAGCCCCTTCTGTAATTGTTTATCTTGCTGATGTAAAATAAATACTGCAGAACTGTACCTAGTTTGAAGTTTGAGTTTAATTTTCCTTTTCAATATTTCCTTTGTATTACACCAACCAGATGTTTTGTAAAAGACTTCATGATTCTTTGGTTTCAAATAAGAGCAAATTAGTGGAATTGTAACTTGTAAGTTGCAAGACACAACAGTCAGGGTAAAGCCAGGTGGCTGACCATATTGGGCTATTGGTACGAACCATCCACATGATAGATGCATGACTTCGGGGTGCCATTATAAATCTTTCACTTTGTTCCTAACTTGGATATATGTGTAACAATTCAATTCTATAACTAAATTTTCCTGCTTGCCTCTCCCTTTGCCCAGGCCCCAAGGCAATGTATAGGATCAAAGAAGAGAGACAGGCAGGTTGTGTTTAATAATCCCACTTGAGTCAGACAGGGTGAAAAGCCCCATAGGTTGTATCAGACTCCAGTTGCTCAAATGTAATGGGCCCCAATTGCCATGATGGTGTGGCATGTAAAAAAGGTTTGGCATTTCTGCAGTGCCAGTTATATGTCAATACTTCTTGGCAGATTGAAAGGGACAACCCAGAATTAACCCAGTTAGTTTACTGCGCTATTCTATTTTTGGTTTTGTGATATCCTTTTTTTTGCCTGCCCAAAATTTAAATTAAACTTCATGATGAAAGTGACACACTCAGCTGGTACAACTACATGGTTTTAGCAAGCCCTAGAATGTAAGGTGGTGAAAATTTTCATTTTTCTGGTAAAATTCATAACTGGGAATGGGGAATATATTGTTTTGGTTGATCAATCCCAGTTCCATGAGTAGGCTCAATTTGAAATACCCCAGAAGAAAGGGAAAAATCAAAAGAAAATGCTGCAAGTGGGGGCAGGATAAAATGACTTAGGTGTAACAAGTTTTGTATGCCAAATAGCAAAATGGGCTACATTTTTCAAGATTGCTTTTAGCTAGAAATTACCAATTAATATGTATATTTTTGAAGGGCATATGTGATTTTTGGCATTTCAAATCTTTGATAGCTTGTTTGAAACTGTTAGAATCTTCATACCATAAACAAAAGAAATATAAGTGGTTTATGTTCCAGTACAGGAACTTCCTTAATTGTTTTCTTGAACCAAGAAATCTTATCATAAAAGTTGATGCTGGCTTTGACTTGAACAGAATGTCTGAATTTGAGTTTATCAACCACAACTCACACAAAGATGGAGGCATGTTGCACAACTAAAAAAGGCTAATTTCTGCATACAAAAGAAGTGGACTACATAGATGATCACTCTCAATTGTGACATTGTCTAATTGTCCACCAAAGCTTTCAAGTGGAGATTTTCATGATTCAAAACAAAAAGTGTTGGATCCCCTTGCATTTTTATTTTGAATCTTTGAGAATTTTTCTTCCATATCTACACACCTGTAGCTTATCAAGAAGAATAAGAAATTTGCAGAGATATTTGTTTCTTGAATGAGAAATTAGCAGATATTTGTTTCTTGACATTGGAGTAGTTTGTCCTATCCAAGAATTGAATGGAGCAGTGGGAAGTGCAATGGCAAATGAAGGAGAGATCCATAGATTCAACATGGCCAAATTTGACCTGATTGGTTGGCTACACCATGGGGCCGGTTTTTTTTAAAGAAAAAAACCCTGGCAATCAGATGGAATTTACATCCAGCCCCTCCACGAGGGCAGCCTCCAAGCGCACGGAGGCTTTAATCTAAATTGGTAACCGGTGGCGGTGCCGTCCTCTGGTCCAGCCGCAAAGTTGCTTCACCTTGAAAGGCACCATGCGATCGATCGTGCAGCCGCAGAGACTTGGGTGCCGCTCACATTTCCACAGCTCTGTTCCAGGCAAGTGTCTGCTTCAGAAACCAGTGCAGATTGATGCCGAGCAGAAGTCGAAGAAGCTTGGCCTCTGTTGGCTTGGCACGTCTCAGACGAGGTTCTTATGTAAGCAGTTTTCAATTTGCACATGCATGAAACTGTGCACCAAGTCCAGCTGGCAGGGCTCGATCTGATGACTGGCTGTGGGATATTTCGAGGGAAGTGGTGAAGCAGTCGGAAGAGAACCAACCAGCTTAAAAAGGCACCCACTCCAACCCCAACAGTCCTCTTCATCTCCTCACCATCTTTTAACGTACCACTAGGCAGCTCTCGTCGTGCGTGTCCATGCCTACCCTTCAAACAAGATTAAACCCACGCTGATTCTTCCGCATCTGTTCCAGTTAAATCTTGTAGAAAGGAAACATAAATAGCCAAGTTTCAGAGATCCCAGAAAACCTAAACTTACTCGAGTAATCGCTCATCACAATGACCAAGACATCGTTACTGGCCGGTGAAGTCAAAGTACTGATCATTGATAATTATGACAGGTAAGTTTATTCAATCAATCAAATCTTATCAGCTCAAACCAGACAGTTGTTCGTAACCTGACTTACTTGCTCTCCTTTTCACTTCGCTCAGTTTCACCTGGAACCTGTATCAATACTTGTGTCTCCTTGGCGCGTCTGTTTCCGTGATCCGCTCGCAAGCCTGCTCTCTGGATGAACTCGTAGCCTCCTACCCGAAGCTCACCCATCTAGTCATCTCTCCCGGTCCCGGCCATCCTTCCACCGACTCCGGTATCTCGATCCCAGCTATACATCATTATGCTGGAAAGATTCCAATCCTTGGGATCTGTATGGGTCTCCAATGTATTTACTCAGCCTTCGGAGGTGAAGTCACCAAGGTTGGTGAGATCGTCCACGGAAAGACTTCGCTCGTCTCTCACGATGGGAAAGGTCTCTTCAAAGCTCTCCCTGCGCACATCCAGTGTACCCGATACCACAGTCTGGCCGGTCGATTTGGTACCCTGCCCTCCGAGTTAGAAGTGACCTGCTGGACAAACTCAAGTGCCGAGCTTGCCAATGATCCCGGTCCCTTCGACGACCAATCTTCGATCATCATGGGCGTCAGGCATAAACTGTTGACCATCGAATCAGTTCAATATCACCCCGAGAGCATTTTATCAGAAGAGGGCAAACCGTTCTTATTAAACTTCCTGAACCTGCGAGGTGGACATTGGTCCGAAAACCCGGACTTTCAAGTTTCTCCAACTCCCAAGTCCGTCCCCATTGCCTCGGCCGAATCATCAAGCAAGCAAACCATTTTGGAAACGATTTGCCTTCAAAGAGCAAAGGACCTCATTGAGGCCAAGTGCATCCCTGGTTTATCCCCTACCGACCTCAAACGCAAGCTTGCCGCCAACGTCCCCCCAGTTCAAATCGACTTCTATGAACGCATCCGTCGACCCACTACCGGCAAAGTAGCTTTGATGGCCGAGATCAAACGTGCATCTCCTTCGAAGGGCTCTTTCATGACTCCAACCACTCCAAGTTCGCCAGCGATCGCAGTCTCGTATGCCGCCGCTGGTGCCTCAGTCATCTCAGTCTTAACCGAGCCCAAGTGGTTCAAGGGTACCCTGTTGGACATGCTGGAAGTGAGACTGTCCGTCGAGAACGTACCCAACCGACCAGCGATCCTTCGCAAAGATTTCATCATCGACCCTTATCAAATTGATGAGGCTAGATGTTATGGGGCCGATACGATCTTGTTGATCGTCGCCTGCCTCAGTCTTGATCAATTGAGGCTTCTCTACAACCATGCCAAATCTCTAGATATGGAACCCCTGGTCGAAGTCGCTAATGCCGCCGAACTTGAATTGGCCCTGCAGATCAAGGCTCGAGTGATCGGTGTCAACAATCGCAACTTGCACGATTTCCGGGTTGACATGAACACCACGTCGAAGATGTTGGATGAGTTAAACGCCCGAAGCTCTGCTCAGAACGGGAGCTCCAACGAGATCATCATGTGTGCTCTCAGTGGAATCTCAAGTCGATCTGATGTTGATAGATACGCCGCAGAGGGTGTTGGGGCAGTGTTGGTTGGCGAGGCGTTGATGAAGGCCGAAGATAAGGTTGCCTTTGTCCACGAGCTGTTAGGCATCCCACCCACCCCCAAAGTCACCACCCGAAAACCACTCGTCAAGATCTGTGGGATCAAGACCGTCGAGGCCGCTGTTCATGCGACCAACGCCGGGGCCGACCTCCTCGGCCTGATCTTTGTCCCGAAAAGCAAACGCTGCGTTACCCCACAGCAAGCCGATGCGATCATCAAAGCAGTCCGAAAGTCAAGTGAGAGCTCGCCGAAACCATCGCTCGAGACAGAAGAGATCGACCTGGACACAACCGATTGGTTCAGTTTGCAATCATCCCGACTCCTCCAGAAACGCAGGACTCAGGGAAAACCATTGATTGTGGGGGTTTTCCAAAACTCGAGCCTGAGTGAGATCGAGAAGGTTCTCAACCAACTGGGAGATTCGATCGACTTGATCCAATTGCACGGATCAGAGGACTTTCGAATGTCCAAATTCCTATCGAAGCCAGTCATCAAAGCCTTCCACATCGAGGTCGAACGAGGGACGACTGACGCAGGAGAAGAGGTTTTTCAAGAAGGATTCCGGAAAACCTTGTCGATGATCAACGAGCCCGGCTTCCACTCCTTCTCGATCTTGGATAGCTCCAACCTCAGTCAATGTGGAGGGACCGGCCAATCCTTCAACTGGAACGCCGTCAAAGCCGTCCTCGCTTCCTCCGCAACCTCCTCCTCCACCACCCATCGCAACTTGGTCATCGCCGGCGGATTGAACGCTCAGAACGTCGCCACTTGCATCCAGACCTTCAATCCCTTCATTCTCGACATCTGCTCGGGAGTCGAAGTTGAGAATTGTCAAAATGGAGTGGTCGAAAACAAAGATTTTGATAAGATCTCTCAGGTCATCAAACTCATCAAATCTGATTCTTAGTCCATCTCGTTTCATTTTTGTTTGTTGCTCTTCTTATCTGCTTGTATATAACTTCTATTTTTCTTCATTTTTTAAAAAAGAGCAAAAGCAAGCAAGCATCAAGACAGCACATTTACCCTTTCCCACATTTTTTTGTTTCTTTTCTTTTGTACCATCATCATGATATCTTGTCCGACCAACTCTTCTATCCTGTCTATTCTTCTTTGAAAGTATATCCATAGATCTAGCACAGCCTTGAAACCTTACCGATATTGTGTATGAAATTGAATGCCCTGCAGTATTGAAAGAAGAAAATGCAAAGGTGATCTCAGGTTGGTGGTTCAACTAGGTTTACCGATCAGGCTTAATTTCGTGCCTTTTGTTTGTTTGTGTATGCGTGAACAGAGTGAACACTGCAAAGGCCAATCATCCATTCCGGGGAAGCAACCCAATAACCAATTGATGAAACAGGATTAAACTGATAGATTGTAATTTGTATATCAGAATGCTCACTACATACTTCTATGTATTTATGTTGTAGTGAATTCTTTTGATGACCGTGAAATCGCATTCGAGATAAGATGTGGTGAATGACTTGAAACGGTTCTGGACGCAGTCAACAGATGACCCAGTACAATGATCAATCTCTTCATAGACAAGGAATCCAGCAGGAATGTAATTTTTAACCCTTTATGATTAATGAGCCAAGTGGCTTATCGAATCAATCTGTTGGAAATTGGAATATTATGATGTCACTGATCAGCGGTAATGACTTGGTGGTAAACCTTAATCAGCGAGTCGATTACGTCATCCAGCTCTTCGTCCACTCCGATCACTCAACATTATTTTATCCCCACTTTCGAAGTTTCGATTCGTTGGGCCTGATTAAGCCGATCGCACTGTTCACCATATTCCTCACCTCAATTAAATTAGATTGAAGTCTTCCTGCCCATCCAAGGATGGCGAACAATCCAGAGAAGCCTCAGCTGGTGATCGATGACCCTTGGTAAGAGCATTCATGTATCGTCGAGACGGGCTCTGTGGTGCTGATGACTGGACCATAAATTGCTATTTGATCTCCAGGCTAGAACCATTCACCCAGACCATCGAGGCTCGGTATGTGATTTCAGAGCTGGATTGTCTTTGTTTCCCTCTCCTAGTATACTTTCTTTTTGTATGTTTACCAATTGATTGATTGGTTACTATAATATACATTTACGGATTTGAATCAGGATTCAAAAGTTTAAGGAATGGCAGGCCAAGATAGACGAGACCGAAGGAGGATTAGATCCGTTCTCGAAAGGATATGAGAAATTCGGATTGATTGCCCAAGCGGATCGATCGATCTTATATCGCGAATGGGCTCCAGGCGCTCAAAATGCCAGTCTGATCGGCGACTTCAATAATTGGGACCGGGAGGCTAACCCGATGAAAAAGGATCAGTTTGGGGTTTGGGAATGTCGGGTACCACCCAAAGGCTCCCAACCCGGTATTGCTCATGGAAGTAAAGTCAAGGTATGTGATTCATCTTGGCCACAGTAATCAAGATGTCTGAGTCTTCTTAACCTTTTGTACGGAACAGATCTCTATGATTGCTCAGAGTGGGGAACGTATCGAAAGGCTTCCGGCTTGGATCAGGTTCATGATTTATTCCATCTATGGATCATTCGCAATCTCTACCTGAAACATAAAAAAAAACTTAAACTCACCTACAAACGTGATGTCGATGATGCTTTCCAGACGAGTGACCCAGGACCTGTCAGTCTCTCCAGTTTATGATGCAATCTATTGGGATCCACCACAGAAGTATCAGTGGAAAAACAAGAGTCCGCCGCCCTTGGATGCTGTCAAAGTCTATGAAGCACATGGTGAGTCAAAAAATGAATATCCAAACAAGCCTTCTCCAAGCAAATTTCACCATACTCACAAATGTTTTTCGCCATGACCAGTGGGTATCTCCACTTCTGAAGGCCGGGTGGGAACATACAAAGAGTTCACTGCCAACGTTCTTCCCCGGATAAAAGCTTTGGGATATAACGTAGTCCAAATGAGTAAGACTGATCCCCGATTCAATACAAACAGCACTTACATTCTTGCTGACCTACCTTCCATGACAGTGGCTGTCATGGAACACGCTTATTATGCCAGCTTTGGTTATCAGATCACCAATTTCTTCTGTGCCAGTAGTCGCTACGGTTTGTCCTTATCAAGTTGACGTCTTTCCAGTCACGCAATCCATCCACAATCTTACTAACAGCTGGGTCAATGCGTTTGACTGACAGGAACTCCGGAGGAGCTTATGGAATTAGTCGATGTCGCCCATGGAATGGGCTTGACTGTATTACTCGATGTCGTCCATTCACATGCCTGCAAAAATGTCTTGGACGGCATCAACATGTTTGACGGAACCGATCACTGCTATTTTCATGAGGGTCCCAAGGGGAAGCATGAGCTATGGGATAGGTGGGCTCAAAAATTGTATCTCTAAATTCAAAATCAACAGAAAAGACCTATCCTGACACTTTCTCTTGTATCTTTTTTGCCCTGAAGCCGTTTGTTTAATTACGGTCATCATGAGGTGCTACGATTCTTACTCTCCAACCTTAGGTTCTTCATGGAGCAGTTCAAATTTGATGGGTTCAGATTTGATGGTGTAACTAGCATGTTATACAATCATCACGGAATTGGAACCGGGTTCTCAGGTGGATATCATGAATACTTCGGGCCTGGTGTTGATGAAGAGGGAGTTACCTATCTGATGCTGGTGGGTTTCCAGCTTTCTTAACTCTTCAGGATAAAAGAGTTGACGGAGTGGTTGTATGAATGTATCAAAATTCCACAGGCGAATCAGCTAGTTCATAAAATTAATCCTCATGCGATCTGTATTGCTGAGGATGTTTCTGGGATGCCTGGACTCTGTCGACCGACAATCGAAGGGGGGCTTGGCTTTGACTATCGCCTATCGATGGCAGTACCTGATATGTGGATCAAACTACTGAAAGAAAAGACTGACGAGGATTGGGATTTGGGATCGATTTGCTTCACATTGACCAACCGAAGGTACCGAGAAAAATCAATCTGCTACTGTGAAAGCCACGACCAAGCCCTCGTCGGGGACAAAACTTTGGCCTTCTGGTTGATGGACAAGGAAATGTATACAAACATGAGCGATTTAACCCCATTCACACCGGTAATCGATCGGGGCCTGGCTTTGCACAAGATGATCAGGTGAATAAAACCATCAAATGCTCTGTTGCTTGCATACGATTAGCTGATCATTGAGTTCAATTACAGACTTATAACCCATGCCCTTGGCGGTGAGGGATATTTGAATTTTGAAGGTAATGAGTTCGGGCAGTAAGCGGATAATATAAACTCTACCAAGGATGTCCCAACTTCCGGCCATTATTTGTGATCTGATGTGGAAATCGATCCTCTTCCAAAGTCCTGAGTGGTTAGATTTTCCTCGCGAGGGGAACGGAAATTCTTTCCATTACGCACGACGGCAATGGAACGTGGTCGATGATCCGTTGTTACGGTATAAATATCTCAATAACTTCGATGCGGCCATGAATAACTTGGAGTCCCAGCACAAATGGCTCTCCAGCTCGCATACCTTTGTTTCTCTCAAGCACGAAGTAAGTGGATTCAAACTTTGACAGCCACTTTTTTCTCCAACCAAGAATAATGAAGCCTGACTGGTGCCCCTTTTCACTTTTTAGTCTGACAGAGTGGTTGCATTCGAACGAGGGAAATTGTTATTCATTTTTAACTTCCATCCGACTCAATCCTACACAGATTATCGGATTGGGGTTGAATGGGAAGGGAAATACCAGGTGGTGCTCTCCAGCGATGAAAAGCAACGCTTTGGAGGACACGATCGTGTGGATCTTCAGTCTGAATATTTCACAACTAAGATGGAATGGAACAACCGGAAGAACTACGTCCAGGTTTATTTGCCTAGCCGAATGGTCTTGGTCCTTGGATTAAAGGCCTGAAACCGATCGTCCATATTCACTCTTATACAAACAACACATATATATATGTATTCCATAGTCGCCAGGGACTCAGCTTGTAGTCAATAACATCAACATACAAGTTGCTATGATATCATTATTTCTAAAGTTTAAAAAAAATCCTCAGTGATATGAACAGTTGATATCTTTCTCTTCATTTTCTGACGTCTGCATGTAAAACCCGAAAACCAACCAACCAACAAAACAAAGTGTATACTGAATCTGGTCAAAGAAAAAAAAACGGGTTTGGTGAATGCCGGTGGTGGTTCTGTAAAGATAGCTTAACATGGTTGTAGCCTCTCATTCTTTTCCTTTTCTTTTCTAAATTTTCTTCTTTGCGTACAGATAAAATATTTCTTGAGAGACAAAAGTCAGCCCCCAAAATAAAAACCACTTGCGGTCCGCGCCTGTCGGCAGCTGGCTTAAGTGCCGGTGAACAGTCATAACCAAGTTAACCGAGTGCCTTCGCAGGAGGGACATCTTCGCTCGAGGGCAAAGCAGATTTTGTCCATGATTTAATTATTGGCGTGCAGCACAGTTTTGCATGTGGGTTTCTTTGCAGACCATACGCTTCGTGGTAGGTTCCTGTAGGTTCGGCCGTCCCTTGGGGACTCCCTGTGCCGTGACGGCCCACATCCATCAAGGCGCCTGCGAGAGCTCAGTACCTCAGACAGTTTCATCCGATGGCTAAGGACCCTCCGAACGGCGTCCCCCCTCCGAATAAAGAGGGACTTAATTTAATTCGCTGGTCCCCGAAGAGATAGAGTGCCTCGAAAGTAGCGCAGGTTAATATCGTGGAGCGCCTCGCGGGAATGATACCATCCCACCGGTTGCGGGATTGGTCGGACAGACCTACAGGCTACACCCGGCAGAGGCTCAGGCCTCAGCGGACCGGACCTGACCGGTAGCTTTGCGTCCCGGAAGAGAGCCTGCTTAGGTACAAGCTCCTTTAGTGCATGATTCTCCTCTGCCATGACACCACGCACAGTGCACACCCATCCGGTCTGGAATTGTCGAATACCTGCCAGTGGCCAATATTCAGCGACGTTGGAAACAGAGCTCAGGACCCTCCTGGGGCTCCGGCGTAATCAAGGGCACCCGGCCACCTCGCACCCAGCGAGAATCGCACATGTTATCCCGCTTAGACCCGGCTGAATGGCCTGTGTACTACTTGGCGAGCTTCAGCTCAGTGTTGAGCCCGACCAACCGGTCCGATCCCAGCCGTTAAGGCTGCTCAGAATCACTGCACTTAGCCAGCCGTTGGCACTTGCTAGTTCCTGATTCCATCGTCGCCCGTATACCAGCAAGTCTCCAGCAGAAGCTCAAGCGCCTCAGATGGACGAGCTTCAGATTTTGGAGGCCTTGAGAAAGTATTTAATATCGCTTCTATCCCTCCATTCCTATGCCTCTTTTCCCCCAGATACTATCACTTATCCAAGTCTTTCTTTACCAATAACATTCATTCGCCTCTTATCTGTCTTTTTGCTTCGAACCTCTGCCAGCCTCCTTAATCATCCTTTGTTCTTTATCGACTCCACTGCAAAAAAAAACAAGTAAAAGAAACTTCAATCAACTCGTACAAGATGAACTCCGTCTCTGTTATCGTTTTCCTCCTCAGCGCACTTTCCGGAAGTGTCCATGGTACTTTCTTGCCCGGCTCCTTCCAGCCTGCCACTCCCGTGACCGGCACTTACCAGCCCGTCACTGTCAGCGCTCCCACCCAGCAGTCGGGCACGTACACCCAGCAATCCGGCACGTACAACCCCGTCTCCGTAACCCCTGGCACTGCTGGGTCCGGCACATACCAGCCCGTCTCGTTCCAGCATGAGTCTCAACAGTCCGGTAGCTACCAGCCCGTGTCGGTTAACCCAGGCACCCCCGGGTCCGGCACATTCCAGCCCGTTTCTTTCCAGCCTGAGACGAAGCAGTCTGACACTTACCAGCCGGTATCAATCCACCCGGCTACTACGTCTGGCAACTTTCAGCCGATCTCGGCGGAGACTCCTACCCATCAATCCGGTACCTTCCAGCCCGTGTCGATTACCCCTGGCGCCCCCGGAACTGGCACTTATCAGCCCGTCTCCTTCAGCCCTCCTACTCCGCATTCCTCCACGTACCAGCCCTTTACAGTGACCCCCGGAACTGCCGGGTCCGGCACTTTCCAGCCAGTCACGGTTGCAGCTCCTACTACGCAGTCAGGCACCTATCAGCCCGTCTCGTTCCAGGCTTCCTCCGGGTCGGCAACCTACACGCCCGTCACCTTCCAGCCTGGCACTCAACCCGCCGTGACAACCCAGCCAGACAACCATCTGCCAAGCGCGTTCATCCCGACCCCCTCGAGCGCGGCCCGTCGAAGAATCAGGTCGATCGCTTTCGCCCCAGACTCGGACGAAGCTAAATGTCCGGCCCCGTTGACTGCCTGTGCGATTCCCTCCAAGAAATCGGGCATGTCTTCCTCCAGTAACGACTCGTGGGAATGTCTTAACCTCCAAGAGGAGCTTACCTCTTGTGGAAGCTGTAACAACAACGTGCGTCTCTTTCCCTTCCTCCCTTTCTCAGATCCCAAAGCGGACTAACTTATTCTTATGCATTGTGCGATTCTGTCATATCAGTGTATGGATATCCCCAATGCTGTCAGTGTGGGCTGTCAAATTGGCTCGTGCAAGATCTGTAAGCTCCGTTTTCTTTTTTTTCCCTTCTCCACGATGCCATGTTGCATTCCAAGTGACTGAACCTTTTTTTTTCTCTTTTCTACCTTGTGATTATCGACAGTTTCCTGCGCTGCTGGTTACACCTTGCATCAACGAATGGATAGCCAAAGCGGAAAGATGGCTGATGCTTGCATGTAATTTTAAACCATCGAAAACTTAATAGTCCGGACCTCATAAATAACTCGCACTTCATAGCTATTTATCTCTTTCATCATACTGTCGTTGTCGTCTCTCTTTTTACTTTATACTTGGCCTCGAATGCAATAATCTGTCTGGAAGTCACGGCTTCAACAAAACACAACCACTTTTTCACTCCATTCGCGTGGACAAGATGTTCTTGCGCGGTTTTTCTTCCTCTTAGCATGAAAGGGGAAAGACCGCAGAATAGTTGGGTCACAGCATTCTTGTGCTTGATCCGTTCCAAGAAAAAAAGGACCCTCGTGGGCTCGTGGTGGGGGGAAAAAGAAGCGCCCAATGGGGGGCTCGAACCCCCGACATTTCGGTCTCATGTTGACCCCGTGAGGGGCGCGTAAAAGCCGAATGCTCTACCGACTGAGCTAACCGGGCCGTGGGAAAGTTGTTGAAGGTGGCCTTCATACTACAATTTACGCGATGATTACCAAAAGTAAAAGAAGAATCGCGCATGAGGTAAATCATCTGAGTTACACTAGTTACATTCTATGATGAGGAAGCTATGCAATCAACTGGAGTAAGAGCCAAAAAGTCTGATAGTGGATCAGAACTTGGCTGCGCCGTCTAAAAGGTTTGCAGTCTGGCCAGGACTGGGGACCAGTGAATCGTCTGCTTGCTCGAGAGTCTGGACATAGAGTGCAAAGAAATCGCGCCAGTTTTTCTTGGAGGGCACGAAGTGTCCGCCGTCGTGCCGCTCGACTCGCGGCTTGGCAAATACGTCGACCAGCGACTGACTTCGATCTGTTCAATCAATCAAGCCAGCATCAATATCCTCCGGACCACGATCTCCGGGTTGGCTTGTATGGATGAGATGAGAGGGGCTGTCCACCTTCTGAAACGATCGCATCAGTCTTGCCAATTATATGTAAGCTGCGAGTGGTCAACTTCGTGTGTATACCATCACTACTACTCGGCCACACTGGGGGGTGTTTCAGCCGGAATCCTGAAACTAATATCGCTGCTTTGAATGGCTTTTGAGCCGTCAACGGCGGCACAGAAAATGTGGTGTGTAAGGAGGGCTGTTCTAGGATTGAGCTTATTATCCCGGCTAGCGCCGCGCCTGATGGGGGAGTAATTAATGAATCAAGTTATCCCAAGAAAAGATGTGCCCGGATCGAGTGACTGTTGAAAAAAAAGAGATGGATGACATTACCTTGAGAAAAGCCAAAACAGGCATCAAATGGACCTTGCTCATCGATCACTCGTCTGATGAATTGCAGAGATTCTAAGGACACGTTTATACCAGACGGGTCAAAACTCATTATCAAGATGGATGGAATGATTGAGATGGATGAGTGCAGACCTTCAAAACCTTCAAAGATCTTTCGGCTCCCGTTTGCTCCATCCTCGATTTCTTTACTTTTCCACCATCCTCTGGGTATCAAGGCGGGGTCAGTCTCTGATGTAAAATGAGTTCAGTAATTCGAACAGACGATGCCCGACTCCGGCTGGCAGGGGATATCAGTTGGTTGATGTGTTGGTCTGACCTGGTGTATGATCAGCAACGGCTGCGGAATCGAACTGGCTTAGGGAGTTCCCCGTAGGGTCGGGTACTTGGATCACAAGAGGTGCATCGACAAAGACTGTGAAGCAACAAAATGGATGTAAGCGTTTGAACCATCCGGACTCAATTTGTCTGATCATCAAAACGGCCACATACCCATTTCACAATGCCCTTGACAGACTTTCCGAACAGCGGCTAGCCTTTTCGAGAAGATGGAAGCATTCTGTGCTGGGAAAAGAACAACAATTGTTCTTGAATCAGTCTTGATTGAATTCCTCAAAACATAAGATTTTCTAGCAAGCCATATATAGATTTACTCAACTGTAGCTGTATTTCATTGCAGTCCAGGTAAGAGAGACCCGTGAAGTCCGTCAGTTATTGGCTTCCATGATCCGGGACATGGTGGATAGTAGAGTGCTGGGGAAAGGCTGACCCGTGGAGCATCAGAATTTTCGGGAGGTTCTGTACAGCCGTCGTGCTCATTGTGGAGATGGGTGGTGTTGGTGTTGGTTTGGCGATTCGGGCGCACTGGAAAGGTTCGAGGATTCGTAGGACT